ATGACATCCCCTGCAAGCTCATTGGCACCAACCACAACCCCTTCCTATCCTCTCCCATTCCTAACCCTTCAAGAGACACTATTCCAATTATATATATATGTATATATCCCACTAACAGTTCCAACACTCCTCCATACACCGCCTTCCCCCACCCAAAAACTCATCTCTCCGAACCCAACTCACAACTAGAATCCTCCAGTTTTACCTCCTATTTGTTTGGGGTTATAGACACAATAACTGTTTTCCTTCAGCTGGTTGTTTGAAAAATTGATATTTTTTATAATAAAAAAAAAAATTTAAAAAACAACATTTACATCATTTAATGGTGCCAAAAGCATAAAAATGTCGAGTCACAAAACAAACATTCAATTAACCGTCTCTAGCTTTAGAAAATAGTGTTATACATATAAATATATATAGAGAGATATAGATATAAAAATTTCCCAACAAGCCATAACCAATACAATTTGTTTTTTATTTGTATAATGTTCTATACAGTTTATGATTTATGGTTTGTCTAATCAAAGCAAATCATTCTGAATCAATCAAGACAAAGATTCTTCTTAATTACTGAATTGGAATTTTCCAAAACAAATAGAGCCCAAATTAGGTTATTAATTATACATAATTATAGATAGAACAATTTAGCAAAACAGGGAATTTCTTAATAAAAAAAATTATAGAATAAATTTCAAGCAAACAATCTCCATCCTAAAACAAGAAACATCAAATCAAAAACACAAAAAAAAATAGTAAAATCTCACAAAGTATCAGAGGGTGTATGACATATTAGCAGATTCAGACTGTGCTAAACAGTGTGTTTCCAAAAGCAGGAAACAGAAAGAGAAAAAACAGTTGTTTTAGGAGTTGTTTGGTTCACTTACATGATCTGATTATCAATCCAGAGAATACAAAATCTAACAAGCTATTACCGAGCTAACCAGATTCAAAATAGCGAATCCTGATGATGTTGCAGTAGAGAACACAAGGACCTTGTAGCTTCTACTTCACTGTTGAATAACCCAAGATACATATTGGTAGGGTTTGATCTTTTAATCTCATAAATAAAAGGAAAATGATTTACAAATTCACTTTTTAGATTCATTTTCTATATTCAATGATATATTAAGGAGATGATTGGTTTGATAGTTAAAGAAATAAATTAACATATCATTAAATTTAAAAGTGAATCTAATTTTTAAACTTAAATAATAATATTCTAAACAAAATTGTACAATGGTACGCAAGTTAGAGCATCTCCAATGGAGCTGCTATATCAGTTGTCAAAACTAAAAAATGACAGGAATGGCAAAAATGAGTCTCCAACGGTCTGCTATTTCACTTGCCAAAGATGACAGAGGCCATATGTGTTCTCAAATTTGGCAAGTGAAATGGCAGATGCCAACCTTGCCAAATCAGCAAAAATCAACAGGAATTTGACACCAAATTCGGTTGAGAAAACAACAGAATTAATCCAGTAGAGAAGCTATTTACCAAAATCAAACCCAATTTTCACAATCAAGCAAATTTCAGAATAAAATTGACAAAACACATGAAGACAGATAGTATATATATATGATCAAACCCATGAAAACAAATTGTGTATATATATATATATGATCAAAATCAAACCCAAAACATATATATATATATATATATATATATGAAGACAGATATTTTTTATGGAGATCAAAACACATGAAGACAGATTTTTTTGATGGAGATCAAGACAGATCAAAACATATATATATATATATATATATGCAGACAAATCAAAACATATATGTATATAGATGAAGATCGTACCAGAGACAGAGAGTACACAGATCGGAGGGAGACAGAGTCAAACCAGAGAGAGGGGGTTTCGATCTTGGAGGAGAAGGGGGAGATCGGGTCCGATCATGGAGGAGAAGGGGTTCTGATCTTGGAGGACATCATGGAGGAGGGGGTTCCGATCTTGGAGGAGAAGGGGAGATCGGTTTCTGATCTTTTGCTCTGTTTGATTTCGGCTATGGAGGAAAAGACAGAGTGAGAATGAGAGGGAGAGGAAGAGTCGTGGAGGAGATGAGAGTGAGAAGAGAGTGAGAAATTCTAGATAGATGTATGGCAAAATAGTGATGCCTCAGTGTAAATAAAGAGCCGTTCGACTCTGTTTGGTTTGTTCAACAAAAAAAAAATTTTGAAATTATTTTTTACAACGGCTCTTTAAACGGCTATTTGCCAAACGGTAATATATTTAATTTCTATAAATTGAAACCTTCCATGCCACTTTTATTTCACACAAATATTTACATTTAATTTTTCTTTTCTCCTCTCTTCTTTGAATCTGATTTCACAACAAACCTATTAAATTATTTTCTTTTTAGTTTTTTCATCCAAAAATAACAAATGACCATTGGAACACCATTGCTATAATTTGGCAAAATAACACTATTCATTGCCAAATTATAGCAATAGCAACTCCAATATAGCAACAACCATTGGAGATGCTCTTAGTCCAATTAATTCAAAGGAACCAAATTACTGAAGACGTGTTTGAGTGCACTTTGGGTAATTTTAGAAAGATGATTAAAAATTATTGTTTAGCTTTTAATTCATTTTGGATCACATCGGTCTTGTTTGATTTGTTTTTGAGAGAATAATTTTAGAGAAAATTTTTTAAAATTTTGTTTGGTTTAGTGATTTTGGAAAAAAATTCCAAAATCACTTTCTCTCTCCTACACATCAATCAATCACTTTTTCTCTCACACACATCAACTTAATTACAACAAAATATCAAATCATCCCAAACTTCCATACTCCAAAATCATTTCCAAAATATACAACCAAACAAAATAAAAAAATTTCTAAACTTTCTCTTCAAATTTTTTTTGAAAAATTTATCTTCCAAAACTAAACCAAACACACCCATCATTTCTCATATTTTTTTACGTGTTTCTTTTTAAAAAAAAGTCAAAAAAAGCCAAAAAATTAGCTTTTAATTATCTCCCCAAATTCATCATTTTTGGTTTAAGCACATAGCAATAATTACTTATTTACTAATAATAATATTCTCACTTCACTGTAGTTAAAACAAGGTAGTTATACCTTTTCTTTAAAAAATAAAAAATTCGAAGAACATGCACCAGTTTTTATCTATTTCAATATATTTCATTAAATTTGTGACTTTTTAATTAATTTATTTATTTTTAAATAATCTTCATATTAATTTTAATATTAAATTACGTAACGGTGCGTAACAGGCCGTTACGATCGCTATAGCAGCTGCTACGGCCGATACACCTGTGAATTTCAACCACACTGCAAAAGTAGCCGTAACGAGTGGCGGTAACTATCACAACTGTTACGTAACAGCGTTACATAACGGTTGCGGCCGCTTTTTAAAACCTTGATATTATCTGTCTAACAAAAATGGCAGACAAATGGAAGGAGCCCAATTGCCTCTCCCATCTCCTCAAACTCAGTGCTGTACAGATTTAAAAAACAAACTCCCTTGTTGGAAATGGGTAAGAAAGAAGACACGAAGAGGTTGTTTCCTACTGCTCTCTATTCCTTCTCTCCTCCATGCAAACTATGTGTGTGAGAGAGAGACAGAGAGAGAGAGAGAGAGTAAAGTAGAATAGTATGTATTTGTATATTCTGAAAAGCCCATGCAGTGATAAGAAAATGGGGACAAAACGTAATGAGGACTTTCACATTCATATGTCCCTCTTTTTGGAGTGACGGTAGAGAGCACCTCCCATGTCAATCTTTAGTGATGTGGTAATACATATAAAAAAATAAATAAATTATAATGTTATGAGTCAAAATATCGAATCATAAGATAGGTTTCACCTCTAAAGCTCTCTCTAGAGCTTCTCATTTAGAGGTCTCAAATATTTTTGTAATATTTACTATAGAATTGGTTTTAATTTTCTAGATTCAATTTTTTAAAAATTAAATTTTGTATTTTTTGTTTTTGACAAATATTTTTAAAATTTTGAACATTTTTTTAAATTTTTTTTAAATGTACCTTAATTAGATATATCTATAAAATAAAATATTTGTAAAAAAATATTTTAAAAAATTAATAAATACCCAAGAATATAAAAAATATACTAAATTTTATTAGTATGTTTTTTCGTATTTTTGATATTTAGGCGTCATTTGGGAACAAATTTTTTTAGTAACTTTTTGACTTTTTGGCTAAAATGTGATGTAAAAAAAATTAATATGTTTGGGATGACTTTTTGATTTTTTACAAAAAGATGTGCAAAAAGTAGAGAGAAGAGAATCTTTGACTTTTTGATATGAGTTGTTGGCTTTTTGATTTTTTTAGTAACTTTTTGACTTTTTGATTTAAAAAAATTATTTGCCAAACGAGACCTCAATGAATTTTTTAAAGATTTTTTTCACAAATATTTATATTTTTTAAGTGTATTTAGGTTAGGTGTATCCAAAAAATAAAAAAAAAATTGCTTAAAATATTAAAAAAATTCAGCCAAAAAAAAAACACGGAAAACAAAAAAGTTTTATTTTTCTGAAAAGTAAATTCAGAAAACTCAAACCAAATGCAAAGCAGAGTACAGTAATCCTAAAAAATGCAAAAAGTACTGTACATAATTAGAACGTAAAAAAAATAAAAAAAAAAATAAATAAAAAACTAACTAATGTTATTGATTGGATCAGAATAAGACAAATTAAAAAAATTTAAGATTAAAATTGAATCAATTTAAGCCAAGAATACCAACTGTAGTGATTACTAACATAATTTATTCAATACGTTTACGTTTTCAGTTTATATTTACAAAAATTTTATAAATTGATTTTTGTTTATTTTTTGTTTATTTTTAGAAAAACATAAACTACATTGGATAATCTAAAAGTAAAGAATCTTTTATAATTATTAGTGTATGGTGTTTTATTGTATGAATAATCTAAAAGTAAAAAATCTTTTATAATTATCTTCGTGATGTTTTTTTCATCATCCCTAACATTGTTCAATAAAAATATGCCTAACATTGTTCAATAAAAATATGCAGGTGACGCGTTTTAGTTGTGGTGGATTCACATTTGCGATACGTCTGAACCACACAATGAGCGACTCTTCTGGTTTTATCCAATTCCTAAACACAATCGCTGAGTTTGCCCAACAACCCCAAACCAAAATTACACCATCTGTCCCACCAATTTGGCAAAGGCACCTCCTCTCTGCTAGGCAACCTCCTTCCATTACATGCCCACACTTCGAATTCGACCAAGCACTAGCCGGAGCCGCCACCGCCACCACCACGGCCAACGAAACCACCACTATCGACCGCTCTTTCTTCCTTGGTCCCAAAGAAATCAGAGCCATTCGCAACCGTCTTCCCCACCACCACTACAGCACAACAGCGACCACATTCGAACTACTAACGGCGTGTATATGGCAATGTCGAACACGCGCACTTTGCCTAGCCCCAGACGAGACTGTTCGCCTCTCGTTCACAGTCAATGGCCGTGGCAATAAACACGGCCTCAACCTATCTCCTGGATACTATGGCAACGTGTTTACCTATCCCGCAGTGATGGCAAAGGCAGGAATGTTATCTATGCTTCCATTGGGATATGCATTGCAGTTGGTAAAGAAGGCAAAGGCACAAGTGAGCGAAGAGTATTTCAGATCAGTGGCTGATCTTATGGTGATAAAGGGACGTCCTTCGCATACCTTGGAAGCGAATAAGGACTATATCATTTCAGATAATACTCGGGGAGGGTTTGATAAGTTAGATTTCGGGTGGGGGAAGCTTGTGTATGGCGGTATTGCTAGGGCGATATCTTTGATTAGCTTTTATGTACCTTTTAGGGACATTAGAGGAGGAGAAGATGGGATTGTGCTACCGATATGCTTGCCAGAATCAGTCATGGATAGGTTTGAACAAGAGTTGAAGAAAATGACTCAGGAGCCTGTGGAACATCCACCAAATCATAAACCCATTTCCATGCACCAAAAATGTTCACAGTCCATATCTTAAAAAAATAAAATAAAATAAAAATTAAGAGTTCAACCTTGATAACCTACAACAAATGTAAGGATAATTAGTGAATAAGTACTCTCCATGTATTGAGTATTAGTTGTATTATAATCTTCCCAGAATGTAGATCAATATGTAACTTATTTTTGGTTTGTGATAACCTACAACAAATGCTGTTCTCTTTTTCTTTTCTTTTTTTTTTTTGGTTTTCAGTGGTCAAAGTTTTTTCTTTTTTGAAGCAAATTAGCGGCCAACTGATCTACGAATCTCGTCAAGAGCATCCACCACAATACTTCCTCTTTCTTTTTGAACATTTTAGTTAAAAAGTGGATTTGCTAGCAGGGCGGCCTCAAATTTATGTGGCCTTAGACGAAATTTATGCGAGTTTAGACGAATTATGAAAATTAGATGCTTTTATATATATTGTTTTTATGAAAAGTTTATACATAAAATGATAAGCACTAACAAATTTTTTATTTAAATTTACTTGCACATATAATTATTAAAATCGTAAACTAAAATTTACTTTTATATATTAAGATAAGAAGAAATCATTAGAAAAGACTCAAAAACATAAAAAATTGGAATATGATTCTTTTTTTTTTTTGAAACAGCCAAAAGGAATTTTATTGATAATGATC